GTATGTATTTATTACAGGAATTGGCTCATGTGATTTATGGAAGCCAGAGGTCCCAAGACCTGCCGTCCTCTAGCTGGAGAACCACAACTTAAGCCAATTGTGTAAGTCCCAGTCTAAATCTGAAGTCCCAAGAACCAGAACACTGGTGTCTAAGGGCAGGAGAAGACAGATGTCCTGGTCAAACAGGAAGCAAATTCACTCTTCTTTCACATTTTTTTTTTCCTATTCAGGTGAGTGATGCTCCTCTGCATTGGTGGAGGTGACGATCTTCACTTAGCATACTGATTCTCATGCTAATCTCTTCTGGAAGCGCCCTCACACACACCCAGCCATAATGTCTTTGGGCATCTAGTGTTTCCCTAATAAACCATGTCTAAGAAAATAGCCATTGATATCTATTTCTTAATATTTTTTACCATGTCAGGAATGGATATGGAATTTTTGAGTTGCCTTCTATATATTAAGATGATAATTAAAAGTCCCCACTTGGATTAACTAATGTAGTGAATAATATTTGGGGCTGATGATGGGACACCTTTCCTAATTTGTGCGAAGGCATCATGGTGTTGGTGTTTCACTGGCTGTTCCTCTGCCTGAAATACTGGTCCCTCCAGGTATCTGTATGGCTTGCTCTCACTTTATGTCTTTGCTCAAAGTCACTTTTGCAGTGAGGTCTATCCTAATTGTCTCATCTAAAGTGCATGTTGCTGCCCTCCACTGGCACTTCTAGTTCCCTCTGCCACATTCTATCTTTTTCACACAATTTTCGAACACACTATATATTTATTTATTATGTTTACTGTATGTTGTCTGTCTCTAGTAGAAGCATACTCCTTGAGTCTAGGGAGTTTTGTCTTTTTTTTTCTTTTGACATACATTTTCAATGTCCAGAGCAGTTCTTGGCACACAGAGAGCACTCAGAAATATTTTCAAAGGAATAAGTGAGTAGAGATTGGAGTCTGCCAAGGAAGGGTGAGAGGGAGCAATTGGACCTGAGCCTTCTACTCAAGAAGCGCTTTAAATAAAAAATTTTAAGATCATTTCCAGATGAGATGTCATTTACAGTCATTGAAATACAGTAAAGAGATCGAGAGATTTTCATTATAGAACTTTTGCACTTTGTCCCATTACTGGGTCTCATAGACTTTTTAGTTCACCAGGAATTAACGCACTTTATTAATCCTGTGATTATTTGTGAATAGCCCAATTACAGTGGTGTGTAACTTAATGATTGGGATATGCTTCTGAGAAAGGCATTGTTAGGTGATTTTGTCGTTGTGCGAACATCATGGAGTGTGCTTACACAAACCTGGAGTGTCTAGCCTGGCTCACCTTTCCTAATTTGTGCAAAGGCATCATGGTTTTTGTGTTTCACTGGCTGTTCCTCTGCCTGAAATACTGGTCCCCTCAGGTATCTGCATGGCTTGCTCTCACTTTATGTCTTTATGTCCCTAAGCTCTACGGGATGCCTGTTGCTTCTAGGCTGCAGAGCTGCACAGCATGTTGCTGTACTAAATACGGTAGGCAGCTATAACACATAGTATTTGTGTATCTAAACATAGAAAAAGTGCAGCAAAAATACAGTGTAAAATATAGTAAATGGTACACCTATGCAGGGCACTTACTATGAATGGAGCTTGCAGGATTGGAAGTCGCTCTGGGTGACTCAGGAAGTGAGTGGTGAGTAACTGGAAATCCTGGACATTATTGGCACTGCTGTAGACTTTATAGACAATGTACACTTAGGCTACACTAAATTTATAACAAATATTTTTCTTTCTTTAATACATTAACCTTAGCTTACTATAACCTTTTTACTTTATAAACTTAATTTTTTTTTTTTTGAGACAGAGTCTCACTCTGTTGCCCGGGCTAGAGTGCCGTGGCATCAGCCTAGCTCACAGCAACCTCAAACTCCTGGGCTCAAGCGATCCTCCTGCCTCAGCCTCCTGAGTAGCTGGGACTACAGGCATGTGTCACCATGCCCAGCTAATTTTTTCTATATATTTTTAGTTGGCCAATTAATTTCTTTCTATTTTTTAGTAGAGACGGGGGTCTCGCTCTTACTCAGGCTGGTTTTGAACTCCTGACCTTGAGCGATCCACCCACACCTCCGCCTCCGAGAGTGCTAGGATTACAGGCACGAGCCACCGCACCTAGCCTTAACTTTTTTTTACTAAGTAGAAAGAGTACACTTTAAAATAATGATAAGGGTATAGTAATTAAACCAGTAATATAGTCATTTATTATGATTATCAGGTTTTATGTACTGTACATGATTGTATTGCTATACTTTTATATGGCTAGCAGCACAGATGTTTACACCAACATCAACACAAACACGAGTCATGCATTGTGCTACGACAGTGTGGTGGTTACAGTGTCATTAGGCAATAGGAATTTATCAGCTCTGTTATTTTTTGAGACCACCGTTGTGTATGTGGTCTGTTGTTGACAGAAATGTCATTATACAGTGCATGACTATATATATTACTTTCAGTAAATTTTGTGTATTAAAAGGGTAATTCGTTCAATGAAAACATTTAAAATGTCATGATTTTGGTGACCTTGTTCTGGCATGTCTTCATTTTTAAATTTATAATGAGAATCTTAAGAAAAGTACCAGGAGGCCGGGCGCGGTGGCCTATAATCCTAGCACTCTGGGAGGCTGAGGTGGGAGTATCGCTCAAGGTCAGGAGTTCAAAACCAGCCTGAGCAAGAGTGAGACCCGGTCTCTAGAAAGAAATTAATTGGCCAACTAATCTATATAGAAAAAATTAGCCGAGCACGGTGGCACATGCCTGTAGTCCCAGCCCCTCGGGAGGCTGAGGCAGGAGGATCGCTTGAGCCCAAGAGATTGAGGTTGCTGTGAGCTAGGCTGACGCAACAGCACTCTAGCCCAGGCATTTGAGTGAGACTCTGTCTCAAAAAAAAGAATAAGAGCCGGCTGGGCGCTGTGGCTCACACCTGTAATCCTAGCTCTTTGGGAGGCCGAGGCGGGCGGATTGCTCAAGGTCAGGAGTTCAAAACCAGCCTGAGCAAGAGCAACACCCCTGTCTCTACTATAAATAGAAAGAAATTAATTGGCCAACTAATATATATAGAAAAAATTAGCCGGGCATGGTGGCACATGCCTGTAGTCCCAGCTACTCGGGAGGCTGAGGCAGAAGGATCGCTGGAGCCCAGGAGTTTGAGGTTGCTGTGAGCTAGGCTGACGCCATGGCACTCACTCTAGCCTGGACAACAAAGCGAGACTCTGTCTCAAAAAAAAAAAAAAAAAGAAAAAGAAAAGTAGCAGGAGTGGCACAAGGTTTTCCCAACCTCCCAGAGGTCCTGATAGAGACTCACTGCTCACCTTATACTCTGCGGCTCTGGGTTTTCTAGTAACTGCTGTTGAGTCACTAAATGTGTCACTGTACCTTTAATTGCTTGGTCAGCTTGAGCTGTAATCTAGAGATAATTTTTGCTACAAAGAGTTAAAATATCAGAGCATTTTAACCATAATAAATTTTAGAAATAGGAATTTGAGACAAATTAGATTTTTCTAATAGAAATGTTCTGAGCCTAAAGCCCTAAAGGGGAGGAAGGAAACCAATTAACTTTAATTTAAATAATCACGTCTTAAGTAGCAAATGAACCAAGTCCTATTGTTAAGGAACAACTGCATTAAATCCCCAAAAGGTTAGATTCAAAATGTCATAAATGCAGTGGCTTCATGCCTCCATAACGAAATAAGTTTCTGTTGGTCACTACGGCCTCTGTTTGTTGTCTTACTGGACGTTGTTATGGAGAGTAGAGGAGGGGAATGATTGAGAAATCAAGGATCGGATGATTTTGTGAAATTCCCACTAACGTTCCTATTGTTAGTAAATTCTTTTAAAGCAACAAACAAATAGCTAATACTTTTATATTATTTTTACTTTTTTATGTTTTAGCCACATTGTCCTGATGCCATAGCTAATAATTTTATTCCTGGGAAAAAATAGAAAGAAAATGTGAGAAAAGCTTTCACATTTAAGAAAACGTGAGAAAAGCTTATTTTCTTCTTCTAAAACTTGTGTATATAGGCTAAGCGCAGTGGTTCATGCCTGTAATCTCAGCACTTTGGGAGACTGAGGTGGGATGATCACTTGAAGCCAGGAGTTCAAAACCAGCCTGGGAATACAGCGAGATCCCGTCTCGCTGTATCCCGTAGCCAGGTGTGGTGATGCGTGCCTGTAGTCCTAGTTACTCGGGAGGCTGAGACAGGCAGATCGCTTGAGCCAGGAGTTGGAGGTTGCTATGAGCTATGATGACAGCATTGCACTCTAGCTAGGGCAACGGAGTGAGATCCTGTGTCAAAAAAAATGTATTTATGATAATTGGATGATTGAGATAACCATTGTTATTTTACATACAAACATGCCCAGTATTTATTGCCATTATGACTGAATTTCTGCCTATGTCTGTAAACATCAAAGCAACCATGAAAAATTTATTAATAAGGCATATATTATGAATAACATATAATATGGTATATACTAAATTCTGGCCTAGAGATTGATTTTCAGTGAGTAGTAGAAGGAGCATAGTAGAAGGAGCATGAGTTTGGCAGACAGTTTGAAACCAGATCATGGAAAGCTTTGAATGCTACGCTCACCGGTTAAAACTCAGCCGGGTGTGGTGGCTCACCCCTGTAATCCTAGCACTTTGGGAGGCCGAGGCGGGCAGATCGTTTGAGCTCAAGAGTTTGAGACCAGCCTGAGCAAAAGCGAGACCCCATCTATACTAAGAAAATAAAAAGAAATTGGACAACTAAAATAAATAAATAAATATATATATAAATATATATATTTAAAAATTAGCCGGGCGTGGTGGCGCATGCCTGTAGTCCCAGCTACTCAGGAGGCTGAGGCAGGAGGATCCCTTGAGCCCAGGAGTGTGAGGTTGCTGTGAGCTAGGCTGATGACGCCAAGGTACTCTAGCCCGGGCAACGAGCAAGACTCTGTCTCAAAAAAAAAAAAAAAAGAATAATAAGAAGAAAAAGGTTTAAACTCTCTTTATCTCACAAACTCTTCTAATTTGTTCCTCCTCACGCGCTACCTTTGTGACTTTCAGCAAGCAAGTGAGGTCGTTGAGACTGTGTGTCTGCACATGGGGGCGATGACCCTGTATTACGGGTGTGCTGGGGGAATCAGCAGGCAAAGCCTACGACTGAGGCTGGCACCCAGGGCATGCTCAGTGAATATTGGTCTCAGTGTTGTTTTGTAAAAATGAAAGCTGCCTTCTGCTGTACCTTATTATCCAGCTGTGCACATCAGTGTCACGTCTCGCACTATACTAATGTTTGCTGTATTCTTGGGAGAAGCTTTTTATTTCCTTGTGGCATTTTGGGGAGGACTAAAGAAACCACTACAGAATTTGTCAAAATGGGAAACAGCATGAATTGACAGAAAAGGGCAAAAAGTTAAAAGGGTTTGTATCTTGTTCCAATTATTTATGCAAATCATGACAGTGGTTTTCCTGTGAAAAGCTTGGTGAAATGATGCTATAGAAAAATCCAGTGCATTTCCCATGATTGCTTGCTCGTCAGTAATACTGTGCTGTAGCAAGAGGAAAATAATTTTGCAAGCTGCTCCCCTACCCCCACACAAAAAGTAAAAAGCACATAATATCATGTTTGTGTTGAAACTTTTTCTTCCGAAATGCCATAACCCCATACGAGAAAGAATTAAAATCCTGTTATTTTAATTTACATCTAGCCACAAGATAAGTAAAGTTATCATTGAAATTCTAATTAAATGGGATGATTGACTAAGGTAGCACATCAAAGAAGAGAAGTGAATATGATAAGTCGGAGACTTATTAATTAGTCTGCGTGGAAGAAATTCCAGGGATGTCAAGCTGAGCCTGCTGCAAGGAGAAAAAAAGCAGACAAGAAAATGTTGGTTTCTTTGAAGTTAGGAGCTGAGATACTGATGGAGGTAATTGCGTCTGACTGGTTCCAGTAATGAAGAGCTGTAAATCAGACCTCAGAATTGAAGGGAAGATTCGAGTAACGAATGTGGCTGTGTCCCCCCCCACCCGCTGCGAAGAAACAGAATGCAGAGCGCACTAATTGACCCAGCCTATTTCCCAGTAGTTCTCTGTTATTATTTATTAATTTTTAATTTCTGAATTATTTACGTCCTGGGAAATTATTCTTGACAGCCTGTTAGGCGTGCCAAAGTTAATGGAGGATGAAAGGATTGGTACCAGAATTAGCAGGGATGTAGTCACAGGCTACTGGATTTAATGATTTTGGAAAGCAAAATTGATTTCACACAGCGTGTCACTTTATACTACTTTTGGGATACACCAGCTTTTTGATTAATTGAGGAATAACCGATTCAAAGTATATTTGAAGTGCAAATGAGTCACAGTGCTCAGCTGTTTACTTTTCTTCCTTTCCAAGAGATCTGAATTTTCTGGAAGCCAATGATGAAAAGCGGATGAAGACACACTTGCAGGCTTTGAACGCACACCTGTTTGATTCATACGAAACTCAGAAGGGAGGAAAACCCCGAAATACAAGAGAAGATGTTTTCACGTTTCTTTTTTCTCCCTTGTAGGCGCTTTATGTGGTTTCTTTCCTCCCGCGCAGGGCTCAGCGGTGGTGCGTCCGTCCCAGAGACACGCGGTTCGGGACGTTTCCGGTGGCTTCACGACCTGTGAGCACCATCAGAAAGAAGCAGCGCTTGCTAATGAATAGGGGAAGCAAGTAGAAAAAAGTGTATTAAAAGAAAACAGTGACTTTAATGAATGAGGGAAGAGGATTGATCTATTAGGAAAGTGAGGGAGGCAGAAACATGCCATCACTAGCCAGCCTCAAAGCCCTGCATTATTTTCAACTTCTCTCTCTCTGTCCTCCCTCATTGGCTTTGATGCATCTACTGACCCCATCTTTGTGCATCTGTCTTCAGTCGAGTCCTCTAACTCGTCTGCTTAGCTCAAATCTTCCTCCTCTGTTGCATTCTATATTAGTGCTTCTCAAATCTTAATGTGCAAACAAATCTCTTAGGGCCCTTGCTACTCTGCAGGTTAGATTTAGGGGTCTGGGATGATGCCTGCGATCTTGCATTTCTAACAGGCTCCCAGGTAAAGCCCATCCTGGCAGTTCTTGACCACTCTTTGAGCAGCAAGTTCCTACAAAACTCTGACAAACTAATTTTCTTTAAAACTCTGCTTTTAACCATGTAACTATTTCATTCAGAAACCCTAAGTGACTTCTAGCAGCTTTGGTTAAATACAGATTCCTCGGCCTGGAATTCAGGGCCTTCCTACTATGATCACAACCTGCCCCCCCCCATCCTATACTTTCCCATCTCCATGCTTTTGTTTTTGCTATTTCTTCTTGAAATGCCTGTGTTTTTGGAAATTCTACCGGTGCTCAAGGCGTATTTCAAATGCCACATGCTCAATGTTGGCTATTCTAACCTTCTCCCACTCAGTGAGACATGAATTCTTCAAATTCTTTCTCTCCTACCTGTTCTTACCTCTTTCTTACCAAGTAGTATCTTCAGTCTCGTAGTATTGCTGTGAATGTATTTATTTCTCCCTATTCAGATGCGGGTCTGTGAGTTATGTCAGAGCAGGGACTGTGCCTTATCTTTGTATTTTCCCCAAGTGCAGGTGCAGAGCGCAGAGTGTGTATCTAACAAATACTGCAGTTAAACCCAACTATGCGGCATTCTTCCCTCCACGGTCAGCCCTACTGTTGCAAATTTGTAGCGTCTCTGAAAATAGCTCACAGGCTATGACTTTCTGCTACTTCTTTTATTCATTTACCCAGTTCCCTGTTTACTCATAAGCATTTGAGGATTCTTTTTGTGTCAGGGCAGTGCCAGGGGCTGGGAATGTAGATGTCAAACAATAGTCTTTGACCCCTAAGAGCCGATGATTCTCCCTGCTTTTATGCCCTGCTCTACCCCTTTTAGGTTACCTAACTCAGCCCTCAAATATGAATCACATAAGCAATAATTTATTCATATTTAAAAAAGCAAAACTGTTTTTGGTAATTCTTGTAACTGTCAAAGGCCCCAGCACCACTACCTCAGAATCTGGACTGCCACGAGTGCTGGGAGACCTACAGCATCTAGACCTTGCTTATATCATGCTCCTCCCCAAAGGATTTAAATATCCTACAGCCTTGGCCATTCACTAAAATTCCCACCCTTAATACCCATTTTTCATCATTGCACCAGTTCTCAAACTGTTACTTCTACCTGATCTAGACTCCTTAAGGATAGGGCCCTCAACATGCGTGCGAGACTCACCCCACACCAGCATTGCTTTCAAGTTCTGTCTCCTTCTTTCTTCTCTCCTGTTGTTCTCTCTGTCCTTTCTATGTGTGTTTCATGCCCTTTATCCTGCCTGAATTTCCAGCCTTAACCCTTGTACCCTACCAACTGCAGAGGGGAGAAAACATTTTTAAGAAACTTCTAATTTTGTATCTACCATAAAGATTCAGCCAAAAGTAAACCACAACAAGCAATTTTGTCATAACATGCATGACAGGGAAGTGTCCAGAAGTCTGACTACCTAAACTAACTAACTAACTGAAAGAGAACAAAAACATTGTATCATGGTTCTTTAGTTGCAGGCAACAGAAACCAACTTTGGGTAACAAGGAAAAAAGGAAGGAGAAGGATGCAGGAGTTGCTCAGAGAATAGACAGTATGATACAATGTAACTGAATTTAGGAAAGCAAGATGGCACCCAGTGAGAGACTGATCCTAGTGCCCCTGCCAGGAGAACCTGCTTGGGTCTAGATCTTACTGTCTCCCAAGAACTGACTTATCAGTGGAGTGATCCATTCCCTTTGGACAGATGAGCTACTCATTCCTTTATCTCCAGAGCTGTCCTGGTTCTGGGTCTTCTTGAGTCCTAGATGTTTAGCTTTTTCTTCAACTGATTCTTATCACTGGAAGCCAAAGAACTCTAACCGACACGAGATACAGTTATAAAAGCAGGTGCTCAGTAGAGGTTTTCTCATCATCCATGTTTTATCAGATAAGAACAGACTGGTTTTGACTCTGTCACACGCTAAAAGAGAAAAGGCACAAAAAAAAAAAAGAAAAGGCAGTCAAAAGAGTTTTAATGGTAGTATTTACTTATATTACTTAGAAGGTCAAACTCTATAGCTGATAAGGGAAAGCAAAGGGAAAGTATAGAAATTCTTTTATTGGGATATTTTAGCTGATATATTCATATCAGCATACGAATGAGGAGTGATTCAACCTACTAGTAATTATGAAATATTACAAAGCATAAAACAGTATGGTTCTGGTATAGGAACAGTCAAATGGAACAGAATGGAAAGTTCAGAAATAGATCTGTGTGTATGTGAATTTGATATACAATAAATGCAGAAAAGGATGCTTTGTTTAGTACAAAATATTGGGAAAGCTGGCTTATCTGGAGAAAAAGCTGGACTTTTCCCTTACATTATACAAAAGTGGACTAACAATGAGTTAAAAACCTCAATGAGACAGGAAAAGTAGAAGAAAATAAAGAATATCTTTGTGAATTTTATTAAACTATGAAAGGACAAGGAGTAAGTGAAAAATTGATGAGTTAACTACATTAATGTTAAGACTTTTTGTTCAGCAAAGTATACCAAAAACAAAATTAATGGACAAGGAGAAGATAGCTGCAGCATCAAAACTAACAGAGATAGTGCTGTTCACTAAAAATAAAATGTGAGTCACATATGTATTTTAAAATTTTAGTAGTCGCGTTAAATAAAAACAAAGAAGTGAAATTAATTTTAATAATATATTTTATTCATATATCTAAAATAGTTATCAGTTCAATATGTAACTTAAAAAGAAAATTAAATGAGATATACATATTTTTACTAAGTATTGGAAAATCTGGTATATATTTTACAATTATAGCACATCTTAGTTTAGACAATGAATTTTCCTTGGAAATACATGGTCTGTTGTATTTATATTTCATAAAAAGTGTATTCACATACCCAAGTTGTTCCATATGTATTTTATACTACACTTCCATATATGTCTTCCATATATATATAGCTGTTCCAGTAGCCATATTAAGTACCAAAAACTATTTTTCCTTTAATATTTGCATCTATGTTGACAAAACTGGTTCATCTCTTTTTAAAAAATTTATTTGACCTTGAAGCAAAAGCTTATTAATTTCAAAACCACATGAACCCAAGTTAAGTAAGTTCATTAACTCTTGTGTCAATTTAGTATTATTCAAATTGACTTCATGGGGTTATTGCATAATTTGAAAAGCAACTCTACATTTATCAATATTAACAAAGTATTCTTCAAATATTGTCCTGTGTTTTCTTTAGTCAAATCACATAATGCTGGAGGGGCGCGGTGGCTCACGCCTGTCATCCCTGCACTCTGGGAGGCCGAGGTGGGAGGATCTTTTGAGCTCCGGAGTTCAAGACCAGCCTGAGCAAGAGCGAGATCCCATCTCTACTCAAAATAGAAAGAAATTAGCTGGACAACTAAGATATATAGAAAAAATTAGCCGGGCATGGTGGCGCATGCCTGTAGTCCCGGCCACTCGGGAGGCTGAGGCAGGAGGATCACTTGAGCCCAGGAGTTTGAGGTTGCTGTGAGCTAGGCTGAGGCCACAGCGCTGTAGCCTGGGCAACACAGTGAGAGGCTCTGTCTCAAAAAAAAAAAAAAAAAATCACATAATGCTGTTGATCATAATTAAAATATCCTGCACTTTTTTGATTCCTGTTAAAAATGTATAAACTCCTTATTAATTTGTATTATGAAGAGTTTCAATTTCAGCACACATTGTCGTACCTACCTGGCTAAATCACAAATAAATTGTTCCTTTCTTTTGGAGTGTTAAATTTAGCTTGTTCACGTGTAGTATGAGATCCGTGCGAGGTGGGGCTGGGGCCCTCGAACTTCAGGCGGGTCTTTGTCCTCTGCCGGCAGAGGGGCAGGCGGGTGAGGGCGGGGAGCGGCCTGCTCTCAGCTTCCCAGCAAAGCTGCCAGGGAGGGGTGGCCTCCCGTCCCGGACGGCCCTCCTCCCCCGCCCCAGCAATGCAGTGGCGGCCCCTGGGGACATGGGTCTGGCCTGTCCCCAAGACGCGTCCCGAGCACCGGGGCGCGCGCCGGCCCAGGCTGCCCACCGGTACGGGCGCCACGTGGCTCTGCCGGGACGCCGCGGGGCGCGGGGCGCGGGGCGCGGGGCGCGGGCGCGGCGCGGGGCGCGGCGCGCGCGGGCGCGGGCGCGGCGCGGGGCGCGGGGCGGGGCGAGCTCGCGCCGCGCCCGCTGCCGGCCCTGGGCAAGTCGGCGCGGCCCCCCAGGAGGCTCGGCCTGGGCGGCGGCAGGCGGCGGGGAGGAAGAGTCCGGAGCGGTGGCCGCCCCGTGGAAGGCCGGCACCCGCGGCGGGCAGAGGGCAGAGTCGGGGCGCAGGGGAGCGGGCACTCTGGTCGTCTCCGTCCCCTCCAGCCGGCAGCCCGCCCCGGATGTCCAGGCGCCGGCCTCCCGCTGACCCGGACCGCCGCCCCCTGGCTCCCGCAGCCTGGGCCGGAGTTGGGAGGTGCATGTGCAGGCACAAGCCAGGGGGAATCGGAGGCGCTGGGGCCCCCCAGGAGGACAGAGGTGCACGGTGGCGGGGGTGCGGGGGCAGCACCGCACCTGCCGCCGCGGGACGCGGGCGGGGACACCTCAGCCCCCGCCTGCGCTCTCGCGCACGCCGGCCTCTGGGGCGGCTCGCCACATCCTGCTGCTGCGTCCTATGGGGGCAGTCCTGGTGCTAAAACCAAGGGCCCTTCCTCCCTCCCTCCCTTCCTTCCTTACTCTTTTGAGAAAAATAGTTTTGAAAGACTGAGCAACCTGATTTTGGTCCTTGGAGCTGACCCAGAGGGATTTTCACAGTCCATGACCACACTTTGTGGACACAGGCTGGTTAGTGAAAGAACAGAAGTCATTTTATTATGAATCCTTCTCCTGGGTCAGAAATGATAGGTTCCACTGAGAGCAAATTCAAACTGTACTATCTTATTTGAGCAAAGTTTAATGTCTAGATTTTCTCTAGTAAACACATTAAAGAACAAGCAAGCTTCATTTCTGACAAGAGATTTTTCTTTTGCAGCTTATTACACAATTGCATGTGTTACTGAAATATGGATAAATTGTCTTCTGGGAAAGGTGGACTGAGGACTTACTATGAAGTATGATAAACAGAAAAATATGAATCCCATTCTTTTCCCATTTAAAAAAATGAGAAAAAGAAATTATACATTATATACGAGTTCTGGATACTTCGGGACTATAAAATAGGAATTTTGCCCAGGGTCTCTCAGACCCACCTTAATTAACAGTCATTCATCATTCATTCATTCACTCCAACTTATTTCTTGATGCCTAGGATGTGCAAGGCTTGGACTAGCTGTTGGAGCTCTTCCCGTGACCAAGGAAGACACTGTCCCTGCCTTCTTGGTACTTGTAGTCTGGCAGAAGGGGCAGCACGGAGCTGGTAATAATCACCACCTGACTCACTGTAGTAAAAAGCATAGTAGTAGAAGGGGGTGCTAGCCTCCGTCTCAGGAGTGACGTTTGTGCTGACTTCTAAGACAGGAGGACATGCTAATTAGGCCAAGAGCAGCCTTAGGGGGCCTGGAAAAGCACACCAGACCTAAGTGACAATAAGTGCAAATGCCCAGAGACAGTCCTGGATGGCCAGAGCCTGGAGACAGAAAGAGAAAGACAAAGAGTCGGGGAGACGGGGAGACGGAGAGGATGACCAGGCAGGCAGCGAAGTTTACATCGTGATTAGATGTGAACTACTAACTCCCTCAGAAAGACGAGAACTCGGAGCAGAAACACTTGGCAGAGACATTTCCTTGCTCAACAGTTTGGATGCCTCAGTAGGTGACAATACTAGTCAACAGAAACATTTGCCTGAGGACGGGCTTTCAAAAAGTTATGTATATCTTTTTCAATGGTTTAGACTTTTTTTTTTATTAGAATACAAAATGGAGTTTCTAACTGGCAAGCAAGAATGGAGTCTGTTAGGTGCACTCAACACTATTATATTAATTGCTAATACATTTACCCACCTTCCCCATGTTTGCTTTGTTTTAATCACAATTCGGTGTTTAAAAGATAAAGCTTTTTCAACATTCCCTGTTGCTCAATAGCTGAATGCATGCGCTGTCCTAGATCATGAGGTTAGTGGTGCTTATTTCAATATTAAATGAAAGGATTCATTTTCATTGAAGCAAGCAGGGAATTAAGCTTACAACTTCAATTACCAATAATTAATTCCCCACACTGCAAGCCATGCAGTTTGCATTTAAACTCCCAATGCCCAAAGGATAACAAAAATCTATTTTGATCACTTTTTATTTTCATCATTTAAGGAGTACATCTTATTTCAATTAGGCACATACATTTCTAGATTATAAGAGAGAACAATTACCCTTCTGAAAAACCAGGGAGTTGGTAGGGGTAGCAGGGGGAAGCCTTTTAAGCATTGCAAAGAAATTTCTGGGATCTTTTCTTTCTCTTGGTTTTATTGAAAGAGCACCTAATGTTGTATAGAATTAGCTACTTCATATATGTGAAGCTATTATTTACAAGCTGGATAATTTCTCTAAACTTGTTTATCCTTGTGCATTAAGCTATTCTTGGACAGCTTTTCACTATCTGAAAGAAAGAAAGCAGTTGAACACATGATGTAAAATGAGGCAAAATTTTAATTCCTGCTCCAAAACCAACCCCGCCAACTGTGGCGGCAGGCAGAAGGATCAGAAGGACTCTTTAGAGAGGAAGGCTTGACCTTCAGATGGACAAGAGAGACTGAGCTCTCCGGATGTCCCACATTCTTTTGACACTTCTGAGCAACAGAAAGGAGCCACCAGGGTTTCCCCAAAGCAGACACAATCAGAGCGGGAGTTTTTAGAGATAAAAAAGAGATGCTTGGAATTAGGTTTCAACAGAAACAGGCCCAAAATAAGTTCTAAGAAAACTCTTCTTTCAAGTATTTTTATTTCTTTTATTTTAGCATATTATGGGGGTACAAATGTTAAGGTTACATCTTTCAAGTTTTAAAGACATTAGATTTTTTTTTTTTTTGGCCTGTAAGGGCTAACTTTGCCCTGGATAAATCTCATAATTCATACTAAAGTTGTCCATATTACGGAAAATCTCATTTAAGTGGAACTCAATTAAATGAAACCATAAATTAACTGGAATTAGCTTCCACATTTGGCTTTCAGGAAAAAGAGGGAAATCATAAAAAAGAATGCAGTATCAGTCATTTAATAAAAGTAATAGCTACGAAGGCAAGTTCCAAGGTCAATGTATGTTCATTCCAATCTTCAATCCACAACTGTACAATTTCCAAACATGTCCAGAAGCTTGGTCTTTAATATGGTAGTAACATATTGAAAAAAACAATGAAATTATATTCAGTGCATTATACTTCCCTTTGTACTAAAACAAACCAATGCCAATGATTCTATTAACAAAGATTAAGGCAAAAAATATTTTCTGGCTAAGTGAATCTTTTTTTTTTCTTTTTTTTTTTTTCTTTTTTGATTAGATATCAAGGTATGAAAAGTGAATCTTAATGATTAAAATTTTCACTAGCTATTCAACCTATTATTCAAACACTCTGATTAATCAATCAACTTTTTCCAGCATTAAATAAAAATTAAATACATTAAAAGAGACCAGGCTATCTAATAAAATCCAACCCAAATTTTCCAGATGCAGACAGAAACAGGGAAGTTCTGCTGATATTAGTATATAAAACAAACATAGAGTTTATGCTGCTGAAGGCCAAGAGCCGCATCTACTAAAATAATTTCTGCACAGAGACCCGCCACTGGCCCTGGGTCTATATGCTGGACGCACTGTTGTTAGCCCAGGTAAATATCTCCACCCTAGGAAATTAAATCTAGATAATATAAGTGATTTCTTTTCACAAGACAAACTTCAGAGAAAGAATTTCTTGCTTTTTTTAATGCACAGTTTTTGTTAATCACTGGTTTAAAAAAAAAGGCAACAGAAAAGATTTATTTTGCTTGGGAATGAAGAGCAACTCTAGGACATTCATTCTTGGTTTCTGGCATAAAATCTTTTCAAGGTCATCCCTTCAACAATAAAGGTAAGTCATTGATTTAGACCCTGTATTCCTCCCCGCTCCCACCATCAGCGCCACACACTGGCTCTCTTACTTCATTTAAGGCTCTGGCTCCTTGTCAATTGTCTACTCATGTTTTTAGCACAGACAAGCAAATTCTACTCAGGAACTTCATTGTGGAACCACACAAATGCAAGTTTCCAAGCACAATGGATGTTATAAGCCCACAATATCCCTACTGCACCACACGACCCTGAGATCCATCCCCTTGCCACGGATAGCCAAGGGCAGCAAAGAAAAGAGAGAAGCTTCCCGTTTGTTCGGGAGGACAGGCCGACCACACCGGAGGGCCGGGATGGGAAGCAGCTGAGCCCCTGACGGATTTGCCATTGCACCCGCTGTCCCGGCCAGGGAGGAGGGCGGGAAACGTTCATGCCCACTGTCCAAGATTCTGTGAATGACAAACTCTCATTCACAGAATGAAGGCCACTTTGTACCGCCAGCTAAAAACATCCGGGAGAACCCAAAACAGAGCAGATTGGAGAGCCACTGAGATCTGAGTTTTTCCTCACTTGGAACCGGAGGCTGTTCCCAAGGTTAGCCGAAGTGTGGAGATGGGCGATTTTTCACGAGTGAAAGAGACACGGTTGATGGCTGTTGTCTGTCAAGTATGTTTGAGTTGCTTCTGCACCAGAGATGATGGTCTCGTACTCTCCTGCCCTGTGCTGTCTGTCACCCAGTTACCTTTAGGGTGACTCCCCAGTTAGGGCTCAGACTAATGGTGCAAGGAGAAGCTCGTTGGCTTCTGAAGAAGTAAACCTCTGTTTAGGCCGTCAGGAGCGTCGAGCTCCATGGAACTAACTGGATGTTTATAGCGTTTTCTACATTTGCTAAGAGACTTGAAAATGGAAACGAGTTTGATTATGAAATTAAAAAACACGACGGATATTTACTTGTTTTCAAAAAATTATCCAATTTTACAGACTTATTTTTCTTTTCTTTTACTCATTACAATTTTCT